TGGTGCCGACAAAAGAAAAGAAGAGCGGAAGGAAGGGTGGGTTGGGGTTTTGGCTTTGATACCAAGAAGTGTGTGTAATTGGCTTACCACAATAAGGGTGAGCCCATGTGTATATACAATGAAACTGATTACAAAATAGGAAACAAGGAAGAGTGCAAAAATTAAGCCTAAATATCCGTAATCCACAAATCACGAGATCCTAAATATATTCTATATTCCAATATCCGTAAAGTGTGATATTTTGAATTTAAAATTTTAATTAAGACACGTTGAAAAAGTGTCGAACATGCTTTTTAGGAGTATCTGTAGAGTGTCGTGTCTGATACAGGTGTCTGACACGACATGCCTCCTCGATATAAGTGTCCATGCTTCTTCACTCTTCTATATACCTATATATATATAGATATCAATTATGCTTCTTGAATCACAATCTTTTCCCATTCAAACTCCAAAATCAAATTCATTTCACTTCAAGGAGCTGTCAAATAGATGTACATCCCTTAGTTGCACGAAGCGGGGGCGGGGGCGGGGGCAGGAGCGAAAGCGAGGGAACGTAGCCACTTAGAGAAGTCGTAGATTAAGAGCGCTCATGTATTATTTTTATTAATTATATTTTATTCATTATAATAAATATGAAACAAATAAATTTTCAACCTTACTAAACGAAAAAAAAAAATTCATTAACTATAAAAAAAAATATTTTAATAAAAAATCAAGACCTCCTTACATGGATCCAAATTTGGATATAGATACAGAGATACGTTAAATAGTTATTTTTTAAATATATTTATTATATGTTATTATATGTTAAAAAGTTAAGAAATAATAAATTATGTTAAAAAATAAATAATAAATAATAAATAAAAATTATATTATATATGATAAGATAAATAATTTTTTATTTTAGACATTAAAATTGTAATGTTTATGATAAATTATATTATATATGATAAATATTATAATTTATAAATTATATTATATATATATATGATAAATTATATTATATAAATCAAAGTCAAATATGAAAACGGAGAGGGAGAGAGAGGGAGAGAGAGAGAGAGAGAGAATAGAATAGATTGAGAGAGAGAGGCGAGAGAAGCAAACAGAGACGAAGAGAGAGAAGCAAACAGAGATGAGGAGGAGATCGAGAGTGGGAGAAGAGAGAGAACTTAGGGCTTCGAAGAGAGGGACGAAGACTAGGGCTTCAAAGGGAAAGTCAAAGGGCGCGAGATCAAAATCGTCGAATAGAGGATCGAAGCCAGCAACCAGGTTCTCTCCTTCCCCTCTCAAGAGTGCTTCCTTCTCGCATCATATTCGCGTTTCCCTCTCCTCAAATTCGCAATTCTGCTGTGATTCTTCCTCAGAAGTGCTGAATCGCGCTTCTTCCTCAGAGTCTTCACCATCTAATACGATTCCTGCTACTAAGGTACATCCACTTCTACAGGACCATCTTACCTAGTGCCACATATGATTATGAGATGTTGAAGGATGAGTTACATCTTTTTCTAATTAGACATATGCCTTTTTCTTTTCATTTTTCTTGGTTGCGCACATTGCGTTTATTAAAGCTCATTCCATTTACTATCAAGATTAACTAAATTTTGGCTTCTATCTATTTCCAATACTTTGAATTAGTATTGGATACTTTATGGAGCTACAAATTGCATAGATGGGCCCCTACAGTGGTTGCGTCCTCGATGAAAGCTAAGCAAAGTTAGCTTTACAAGATTATCTACAAGATGGGGAGCTCCCTTTTAATGGGCATAATCAACCAACCTCATGAGGAACTTTTAATCTATTATAATATTTCATGTATGGCAATTCCAATAAACAAAACTTGGGATTAGTCGTATGCAGTTGGGATTGATTGTAATGGATTGATATGTTAGGTTTGTGTCCGAGTGTTTGTGGTGTGAAGAACTACATCTGCATTGCAAGCATCGCATTGTTACTCACACAGGCCTATTTGGATAAGCATGTCACAATAGAGGTTGGAAATTATTACTAAAATGCACATATTTTACCCGAACTCTCCGCCTAACGTGTGCTCAAAGCCCACTCTAGTGCACCTACAATCTCAGTCCAATTAGGTTTAGAACTTCTATGTAACATATAAACAATAACGAGTCTTCTCTTCTATGTACAGCTGCATACTTGAGAGAGAAAACTTTGTGAGTTTAGAAGTTTTCGAAGTTTCATGAAACCCACAATTTTTAATTATTGGAACCAAGCATTTTGATCTAATCATTGAGATAGTTTCATGGTTGAGAGTTTTAAATTAAGAACCCACAGTCACACATATGTATCTTTGGTTGTAGTAATAACAAAGCAATGAGGTGTGGAGAACAATAAGTCTAAAGGTTATAGAGCTATGAGACATGGAGAACAAATGAAAACTTCAGGGAAGCCTGCTAGAGCATAAGGTCAAACGGGTTGGGTTGTCAGTTCTTCTGTCTTGAGTGTTGTAAACTCTTGTTTGGGTGTGCTTTTCTATCATTTTGATATAGTTCCATGATATTTGGAAATTGAAGTCAAACCACCGTTTGACTTTGGTTCGCTAAATAAACCAACATTGTTCAGTCTTTGGTAGCTAAGCGTTTAAAGTTGTTTGGACAACTAAGGCCAAACGAGAAAATGAATGGTCATCAAATCAAAATTGTTATCCTTTGGTTGGCTGAACAAAATTCGAAAAAAAAAAAAACAAAAAAAGTCGCAAAAGGGTCATCTTGTAGTTTCACACCACCACCACCCCCAACCACATCCCTTCCCCACCCCACCGCCATCCTCCTCCTTTATAGTGGTGAGAAAGAGAGACGAAGAGGGAGGGTGGGTGTAGAGAGAAAGTGTGGGGTGAGGGACAAAGATATGTTTAAAATTATAAGGAGTGTAAAGAGATGAAAATTTTTAATTTTCATTGAAGTCTACTCAGAAGATGAGTGTAAAGTGTTAGAACCATGGTGTAAATAGAAGCTCCCATCTCAAAACTGCCAAACAACTATCCGTCGATAGAGACCTGAAAAGGCCTATAAACAGACCAACCGTTGTTAAAAAGAGGTTCCACTCAACACCATGTCAACCCACATATTTGGGTTATAGATAAGAGTATGAGTAGCGTTAGAAGTATAAAAAAAAAAATTCCTTATAAACAGGCTGTGAGAACATTCTTTTATTTGAGGATTAATGAATTGTTAATCTTCGTTACTGTGTTTTTGCCATACCTTCCAATCCAGAGAAATCTTGAAACAAGACATTGAACCACACACAATTGCATCGTGCATTTTCTGTTTCTGTCAACAGACCACTTGAAGTTGTTTTCCTGACAATTTTTGGCACACCTAGTGCAACACATAAACTTTGCAAAAGGGATAAACTAAGCAAGATCTCTAGTAGTGGGGAGATTTGAGTAAAAAAATAAAAATAAAATTCAAAGGAAGCCTCAGATTTTGGGGAAGGCTAAGAGGCACAAGGTATAGTTGAAATACTCATCATCTTCAAGATTGGCCTTTTGACTAGGCCTATGTTTACATGACACTGACAGTCAATTCAAATGACAATACAGGTGACAGCGTGCAATGAAATTCAGGGGATGCATTGTCCAGATAGTAACGGCAAGCCAAAAATATAGGGTTTTACCATGTGATGTAAAGCAGACAATTAAAACTAAGTCACCATTTGAGCAAGTGAGAGTGCAAGAGTGTCCTTTGTGAAAATGTATCAAGGGTGGGAGTGCCACTAGAGTGTATATATACATATATTTTTACTTTATTTTATTTTATCCTAAATAATCTTTAACTGTTTTATTCACTAGTACCTTGTTAGAAAACTACACTTGATACTAATGGAATAAATGACAATTACTTTGTAATTGTTGTACAACTAGTGTGGTGGCCTAGAGGTAGATAAGCATTGGTTATGATGCTAATGTCATCAGTTCAAAACTTCTTGAAGGGTGGGAATGCATTTTTGTTCCCAATATTGTAGACCCCACATTCCAGTGTGGCTTAGAAAGGTGTACATGTGGTGTTCAATGATGACCACCTAAAAATTTGTGAATTTGACCTGCATGTCACAAGTCACCCTATCCACGAGTGAACTAGCAATCCGCCCATCATGTTGGACAGATTAGGTGACTCAGGTTGAAACCAAAGGAAATGCTGCCCAAAGCAAGATAAGGCAAATAAACTGCCAAAAAGTAACTGTTCTGAATCTTATAACTGCCAAGCAATCATCCATCAAGAAGGACCTCAAAAGGCCTTGTCATTAGAAAGAGGTTCCACTCAATGCCACATGAATTCCACATACTTGTTTATAGATAGGAGTAGAACTAATCTTAGAAGTTCATATTTTTCTTTTGTATTCTTGTTATCTATATAGGAGTAGGACTAATCTTAGAAGTTCATATTTTTCTCTTGTAAAAGGGTTGTAAGAACAATCTTATGTTTGTAATCATTATTAGGATTAACAAATTGTTAATCTTCATTATTTTGTGCTTTACCATACTTTCGAATCCAGAGAAGTCCTAAAACAAGGCATTGAACTACATACAATTGTCTTGTGCATTTTCTAATTCCATTGGCAAACCACTTGAAATTGTTTTACTAACACCCGGCTCCCCACCAGGCTAACTCAACTCTCCACTAGCACAAAGTTTCAAGTGCTCATGTATGTGTGTGTACGTCAACATAGGAAGTGATATCATCTATCCCATCAATCAGAAAACTTAAAATCCTTCAGCAATCAGCCTAGTTTAGAAAAAAAAAAATCAATTTAAGATGCCTAACACACACACAGTGAGGACAACAGTCTAGGAATATCATTATTACAAACTATTCCGCTTTCCATTTTTTAATGAAGTCATAGTTGTCAACAGCAAAGCAGTTAATTGTCAACATCACAATCCCAAACTGGCTCAAAGTAGCCAACAAATCAAAAAGAGAAAAATTAAATTGACAAAAATTAAAGGTCTAGATCTAGAATATAAGAGGTAGGAGGAAGCAGACCTGATGTTGACGTTATTGGTAGTGATATGAGTAGAAATATTTTTGGAAACCCATTTTTCAGCAGCCTTGACACTGCCAGCAAGAGATGTAAGCTTGTCGTTGGGGATACCAACCATAACCTCAATACCGGACTTGCCTAAAGCTCTCAACGCATCATAATCGGCATCGAAAAGCTTAATCTTCTGAAACCCATTATCCCTAAGCAGCCTCACCACTGTATCCGGAGGCAGTGGGTGGGTTGCTTGTGTGCCCCAGTTAGCACCAATGCCACTCACTGAATGCACCAAGGAATAGAAAGACAATACTAGTACAAGTAGTACCACAGCCATTGAAAACCAGCCCATAGTGTGTTGTATGAATCTGCTAGCAAAACTATCCTCTACTAAAACACAATTGGGGACCCAAGTTTCAACTTTGATTAAAGAAGAACAATACACGGCTTTTATTAGATCCAAATGGGTCTAAAAACTACTATCTAGTTTACGTTGTGCAGCAATGTTTGCAGATGGATAAATTGGGACTAAATTAGGAACCAAGAAACAGAACCGCAAAGAGAGAAGAGTTTCAATCTAGTAGTGAAGGCGATGGGGGAAAAAACAGTGCAACTAAAACTAGAAGAGCTGATCTGAAAACAAAAGGAAATCCAAAAAAAAGGTTTTCTTTTTTCTTTTTCTTTTTTCTTTTTCTTTTTTTTTTTTTTTGGGCGGGGGGGACCCAAGACAGCAAAATCAAATTTTGAAAATAACTTACAAAACCCAAGAAATGCAACTAATGAAAGTGAATTTAAAAATTAAAATAAAATCAAATAAGAAGAGGAATGACAGAACACCCACGACCCTACCCTCGATCCTGTTTTGCAGCTTAAAACAGATTGATAAATCTTCAAGAAAAGATATTATAGAGTTGGAATTTATTGAAGATTAATTTGTAGTAGAGTGCTTACAGATAGGTTTTTGGATGTAGAGAACTCGACAGTGTTACAGATAAGAGCTAGCTTGGTATCCAGACAAGAACAACAACGAAAAAGTACCAACTCAACTCAACTCCACCTTAAATCAACACATATTTAACTAAAAATTTCAGAGAAAACATGAAAAAATAGTAGATTGAGATTTTAAGAGTAGTTAATACAGCAAAAATTAGAGAAAATGAAGGACGCAGAACAGGTTAAAGATCTCTGGCGAACCCAAGAATGCAAACCCCATCCATGTACATCACAAGAAGCTCACAACACTTCAAAAAGAGAGAGAACTTCAAAAAGAGAGAGATGGGAGAGAATAATGAGAAAAGCTGATGCCAGAAATATAATAGTATTTAGTGGTGGAGTAATTGACAAAGCACAAAAAAAGAGACAACATGGTCTGTGTCCTAAAGTACAAACTTTTTTCTTTTTCTTTTTTTTTTTACAAAATGACGTGGCATCCATGAAAAAATTAAGGTCAAGTTTGACATGATTGAAAAAAGACAAAAAGTTAAAAAGTAACTATTCTATTTAAGTTATATCATCTTATTTAAGTCACATCACTCTCTAACACATCACTTCAAACCCAACCCAAACCCAACCCATATTTCATAAAAAGTCAAAAAGTACACTTATTTAGTCTTCCCAAACTAGGCCTAAAATTTTATTTACACAATACTAAGCGGTGGTTTGGGATGATCTCAATAAGCATATTTTTTTGACTTAAGGGGTGGTTTGTGATGATCTCAATAAGCATATTTTTTTGACTTTTTATGAAATATAAATTGAGTTTAAAATGATGTGATAGAGAAGTGATGTGACTTAAATAAGATGATATGGCTTAAATAGGATAGCCACTTTTTAACTTTTTTAAAGTACCTCAAACAATGCCTAATTCTCTCACTAAGGAGTTGTTTGGGATGACCTAAATAAGTATATTTTTTGTCTTTTTACGAAAAAATATGTAGAAAAATAGAGAAGTGATGTGATAAAAAAAAGATAAAAAGATAAAAAAATAAATTATTTTTAACTTCCCAAACTGAACCTAATTATTTAGGAGTTATTAGTTAGTTAGTTAGTACTAATTCCCTTATTATAGCATCGATATTGATAATGTGAAAGTTAAAAAAAATGTATTAAAGTATGTTATATGGCAAAAAATAGTAAGGCCAAGTTTGGCATATGAAAAATAATCCATCTTTTTATCTTTTTATCTTTTTTCCATCACATCACCTCTCTACTTTTATGCACATCTTTTCGTAAAAAGACAAAAAGTACACTTATTTAGGTCATCCCAAATAACCCCTAAAAGTAGAATTTAAAAATGTGTTAAGGTGTGTTAGGGCATATTTATCAAATTACCTAAATTTTATCTTAAAATATTATTAAAAATTTTATTCCCTATTTTAGGAGTTACATTTTCACAAGTTAATTTTGGACATATTCCTTCTTTACCTCCAGGACTCTCACGGGACATCAGAGGGGATGTCCGAGGGGACGTCTAAGAGGACATCCTTCGCGCATTCAACGAAATAAAATAAGAATTTATCATATATGAGGGAGCTACAATGACACCCTATGGAGTCACTGTAGCAATACTTATATTTGGAGGGTTAGATAGGGGAATTGCTAGGGATGTGTTTTGACAGAAAAACTCCTTATTTTGAGTAAGGAGGTAATATAAAGGAAGATATGAAGATGCTCTTAAGAGTTTGTTAATTTTAGAGAGTGAGTGGTAATGCAATGGATGTGTTAAAATGAGTGCTAAGAATATATATATATATATAATAAATAAAATAAATAAATAATTTATTATTTTGCCTACTACTCTTCTTGTCAGTTGAGAATATATAAATAATTTATTATGTTGCCTACTACTCTTCTTGTCAATTGAGAATATATATTGATAATGCAGTTCGTCCTGGGTGGATGGGCCGGACTGGTTCAAGCTCCTCAAGTTCCGATTCAGGCGGATGATTCCACCAGATGACCTGCAAGCAAGTCCAAAGAGAAACGGGGTAGTCCCCCAGTGAACCCTCCGACGTGCGAATCAGTTGAGGAGGAAGAAAATATAGAGAGAGAGAGAGAGCGAGAGATAGAAAAGCTTAACCTTCCTCTTGTCTTCCATTCTTGTTTATATCCTTTGGTAATCATTTCACTGTCCCCTGTGACGTGCCCCGTTCCGCCAAAAGCCTGTGCCGTAGCTTACCTTGTTCAGGGTGAGAGGGCTCTGTTCCGACGGGGAGGTGTTGTCGTAATAAATGCTGTAATGGGCTGCATTAATGGTGATATGTTGTGGCAATAACTCTGCAGATCTTTGTCTGCTGATATGGCCTGTGTTTCACCTGCCATGTGCCCGAATGCCATTGGCCCTCCATGTCCAGATGGCCTCCAACTGTCCTGGGCTTTGCCAACCGGGTTATGCTATGGGTCCCAAGCGATGGGTTTGGGGTTGTTTGCTGTGGGCCGTAAGCCTTGTGGGCCTATCCATGTCAGTAGTCCCCCATTTTCGAGTGCAGCTTTAGCCCAACGAAGGGAATAGTAATAAGGAAGAGAAGTGCGAACCGAGTGGAGAGGCCGACCGTTAGGCATGCCGACCGCAAGGGTGGCCGAGCGGGAGAAGCTGACCGTGAGGATGGCCGAGCGGGAGGGGTCGACCGTGAGGCGTGCCGACCGCAAGGGTGGCCGAGCGGGAAGGGTCAACCGTAAGGCGTGCTGACCACAAGGGTGGCCGAGCGGGAAGGATCGACCGTTAGGCGTGCCGACCGCAAGGGTGGCCGAATGGGAGGGGTCAACCGTTAGGCGTGCCGACTGCAAAGGTGGCCGAGCGGAAGAAGCTGACCGTGAGGGTGGCCGAGCGGGAGGGGTCGACCGTGGGGCGTGCCGACCGCGAGGGTGGCCGAGCGGGAGGGATCGACCGTTAGGCGTGCCGACCAGGACGACGCGGGGCTCAAAAAGAGGGGAGGTGGGGTGCCATGTGATGATGTGAAATGGAAAGGACAGGGTAAGGGGAGGGACAGTGCATCGTGGCCATACACGTGGTAAAATCGTTGGGGAAGTGAAGCGTTGGAGCAGAAATGAAACGATAGGTCACGAGGGGGGTTTTGAAAAGACGGTTTTGGCGGTTGATTTGAAAGGTTTTGAAACGGGCGAAAATTAATGTAGATCCATGGAATACGGGTAGACCGTGGGTTTTTGGTATGATTCGTTTCACCTACCTTTTAACAAAAAATCAAAATACCCAAGTGTTAATTCCGTCATTGCGCACGACACACCTGTGCAACATTTTCTCAGCTTCCTTGCTCCTGCGTCAGAAGTGATTCGTAGGCGAACCCTAGAAATGGCACAAGAAGAAACGGTGAATGTGAGGGTGGATCCCTTGGGAGACGATGATGCAGAAGAGCTAGCGGCACGATACAGGGCGGAGACACGAGTGGTGGGGGTGGGGGAACCGGTGGGACAATCGCAGGCGTCGGCCCTGATATTGGCCCCAAGGCCAATAAGCCAGGTAGAGCCGGATCAGTGGCACACTAAGGCTGACAAATCCACAATTACTGCGGCGGATTTGGAGGCTATCAGGGAAAGATACCAGATTCCGACAAAGGTGGAGTTATTGCTGCCAACATCAAGGGAAAGGCCGTCTGATGCTAGGCCAGGGGAGTTTTCCCTTTACGAGGAGGCGCTAAAATGTGGGCTGAGGTTGCCACTGCCCCAAGTGGTGGTTGACGTACTGAACCGTCTGGAGGTAGCGCTAGGGCAATTGATGCCCAATGCATGGAAGATTCTGCTAGCCTGTGCGAGCGCGTGGCCCAAGGCGAATGGAGGGGAGGCCATGGCGGTAGACGAGTTCTTTTCCTATTACAAGGCTTCGGGGCAGCAAGAGACGTGGGTCACCCTACAGGCAGTGATGGGAAGGGGATTGGTGGCGGGGCTGCCGACATCGATCAAGGGGTGGCGGCCACGGTGGTTCTACGTGTCTGCTAATGGGGGACTGGGGGTGCGCACCATCTAGAAGGTGCCCATTAGGTTGATGGAGTCAAGACTGGGGGCAACGGCGGAAGAGAGGGTGAAGAGAGTGAAGGAGTGGAGGGAGAGAGAGAAGGCCAAATGGGGCGAGCTTGTTCAACCGTCCGCATTGTTTGAGGCAGGGGTGGGACCGCAGCCGAGGGGTGGGGACCTCGACCGAGCAGAATAGGAGGCGAGAAGAGAAGCTCAGAAGGTAGAGGATCAGGCCGTACTGGCCAAAGCCACGAAGTTGAAGGAAGCGCGAGGAGACCGACAGCCTCAACCGATCGCGCGGGAGAGGATCCGACCGCGCCCAAGGCCGTTGGGAGGGAAAGACTTAAGCACTTTTGAGCCACGACCCCCCAGTAGATCCTGTAAAAGAACAGACCAGAAAGGAGGGGGAGGCTCTGAAGAAGAAGAAGAAAAAGATGAGTGCCCCAGAGGAACCTGCAGATGAGTCTAGGGCCAAGAGGGTTAAGATGGCCCCAGCTGAGGTGGAGGTCGCTGTGGCCAAGGATACCCCAGAGGTGGTGGGGGTCACCCCAACTTTGGAGGTTGTGGAGACTGCCCCAACAGAGCAAGTAGGAGTTGGGTTGACCGAGGGTGTGCCGAGCGGGAGGGAGCAGACCCAAAAGGGCCCTGCCCCCAGGAATGAGGGGTCTGTCTGGCTACGGCAATCTATCACGCTCGCGCGGTAGCTGGAAGGTTGGAGGGAGAAGGAGGCCCAGCCAAGGCGGGGGCAGACAGCTTGGTGAAGATTGTGGAGGAGACAGCCCTGCGCTCGGCATCAGGCTTTAATGAGGCTGACCTGCTGAGGGGGTTATGCTCCCCCCAAATGGAGGTAACTACCTTGGCAGGGGCCCTTCTAAGGAAGGCAGGGGCTGCCAAGTTAAAGGCTGAAGAGGCCAAGGCCCAGTTGGCCAAGTTGAAGAAGGAGAGTGCCGACTGGAAGGCTGCCCATACTGAACTGCAAGCAGTCAAGTTAGAGCTGGAGGACACACACTGTAAGGTCGTGTCACTCGAGTTCCAACTGGCTGGCGAACAGAAGAAGTTGGAGGAGTCTGAAAGAGCCTGCGCCGTTGCGATCGAGCGGCATGAAGAGGCCATGAGCAGCAATGAAGAGCTGGTCAGGCAAAAAGATGAGGCGGATGCGAGAATTGAAGATCTGTTGAAGGGGTTGGAGGATGAGAGCGTCAAAGCAAAGGAGGAGAAGGGGAGGCTGATGAGGGAGTTGGAAACAGAGAAGGCGAAGGCGATGGCGGAGATGGAGAGTCTGAAGAAGGGGGTGGAAGAGGAGAGGGCGACGGCGGCTACTGAAAGGGGAACCCTGCAGAGAGAGTTG